TTCAAAACTTCATGAAGTTCCTTTAGATCACCCCATTTTGGTTGAGCAATGTTTCCTGCAAATAAGTGAATCAAATTATATATATTACATTCATTTAAAGTTATGTTGATCAAATAAACCAAATTGATTTAATGGTTATATACCAAATTCATCAAGTGGAGCATCATACTCATATGAGGTTGTAATATATGGACCACCGGCAGTTCTACCAAAGTTGGCTCCCCCGTGATACTGTAACAATAAAACCGTATTTAATAAAGCATAATCATCAATTTTATTTTGATATACTACTATTTAAATATATTGATATCATTTACCATATAATAGTTTTGCAAAGTTCCTCCAGTTTGGTAGAATCTGGCTACAACATATGCAACATCTTCAACTGTTCTGTGAGGATCTTGACCACCCCAACTTTTGAAACTTTAATAATCATAAAAATAAAGAAAAAATTTGAATGAATTAATGATAAATTAAAAAATTTAAAATTGAATAAATTAAAGTGATTTGATACTTACCATCTTACCCAATTCCCAGTCCAAATCTTAGGACTATTGGGATTATTAGGTGTAAATTGGTCACAATAATAACCATTACATGTGTTGATCTGATTAAAAAAAAAGAAATCAATCAAAAGTATAATTAGAAAGGGATAATTAATTTGAAAAATTGAAAAAAAAAACATTTAATTAAATAATTTTACCATCGGTTGAGGAGCATCCCTTTGCTGACACATGATCCATGGAACTCCAATATTTTAAGATTCTGCCATTGAAGCACACCAACCTAGATACACTTTTCCAGCATCTCCATAAGGATCCATAACATTCCCATATTCATTCTCAATCTATTAATTACCAAAAATAAATCAATTAATAAATTAATTTGGTTCAATGATTCTGTAAAAATTTTAAAACGATGAATTCGTGAACTAATATATATGTGTGTATGTATATGTACCTGGGCAATAATAATTGGACCACCTTCTCTTCAGTGATCTTATTTCTAATCAATGTAGTGAAATTTTGCATCTCATTCTGTGAATCCAAATAATAACTTCGTATGAATAATTTTATTATGGTAATACATAAAAATAATCATAACAAAGTAACGAAAAAGTAATTAGCTGACCATAAACACATTATTTGCGGTTCTCTTCTCAATACCAGGCAAATTATGCAACCACACAGGAAAACCCCTAAGAAAACAAAAAAATATTAAGAATTAAGAATTATGATATAGATAATTAAAACTGAAAAATTATAAAAAAAACTAATTACTAATTAATTAAGTCATTAAATATACCCGTAGTTCCATTCAGTATAAATATAAGGACCAATACGAAGAATGGAAAAGAGACCAGCCTCATGAATGGTCTTTAGGAATCTAATGAGATCATTGGTACAATTCGGTACAAAGTATTGAAAATAAGGAATACGGATTGTGATTAGGATTGAGAAAATAGTATTTAGCATGAGAGATTGTTTATTACATGGGATCAAACAAACTCATGCATGTGAGATTGGGACCAAATACCTATCTTTTTTAATGATTTTTTTAATTACAATCCTAATACCTATCTTTTATTTTCAATATTTCGTACCAAACAGGACTATTATTCCCAAAAAAATCATATTGACGATGAATTGGTTCATGAGCATTGCAAAACACACAAGTCTCTATGGTATTAAGCCCTCCTTCTTTCGCTTTTTGAATCAAATCAGGCCACATCTACATGATCAGCAAACTCATATTAAGAGCAGTACTAGTACGAACATTTGCATTAAATTTAATCAGGAGAACAAAGATTCCCAGATATGAATAGAATTATGAGTAGAAGAAGGGATGGAATATTACTTCAGGTTTGCTTCTGGGATAATGAATTGAGCCAGAAATAAGAATCGGACGTTGGCCATCGATGATGATGGCTCTTCCATCGTGGGAGACAATGACAGAAATTGCTAACAGAAAGAGACTTAGCAGAGAAAGACAAAACAAGCTTTTGTGAGAAGCCATATTGAAATGACTTGGGGAAGAAGAGGAGGGTGTGGAGTATACATGGAATTCAAAGAAAGGTCAAGACTACTTTATATAGGAAAAAATAAAGGTCAGATTATGCAGATGTTTTTCTGCTCTTTAAAATTTGTTTTTTCTTTGGATGAAAATAGATATATTCTAGTTTATTACTATCTTTCATCACCTTATGATATTTATTGGGGTGGATTAGAAGTTAACAGATCAACAGAATCATTAATTGGATAATCTTGATCAATAAAAAAAAATCTCATGAACTAATTTATAATATAATTTGAATTTTGAAAAATGTCCATTTTATTCTAGCTTCTTATCATCAATAATCAATAATTGGATATAATAATTAATAATTTTTTAGTGCTATTATTGTTTGCACGTAATTCTCCTACCTACTGTCAATTCTTTTTATTTAGTAAGGGAGCATAATATGTATTATTGAGCAAATATCCTCTTAAACTTTAATTTCTTAAGTTGAGCTCATAATCTTATGAAAAAAAAACTTTTGAATTATATGTGGATCATTTTCTAGGATTTTAAGTCATATGTAAATGCATATAAATTGTCTGTAACTCTAATGTAGTGCTACCTCTAGTCTTTAATATAAAAAATAGTTGACTAATTTAAAAAAATAAAAAAATTATTAAATTACTTAATTACAGCATATATTACCTGATCTTTCTAAAATACTTATGTGAATCATTTTATTATTTATCAATTTATAAGTGAGACAAATTAGTTTAAAGAGAAACAATAAATACAAATAGTTTAAAGTAATTTAGTAACTGTTTTAATTTTTTTAAATTAGTCAATTATATCTTATATTAAAAATAAAGAATAGTACTATTCCGGTGTTTTGTTATTTTGGCCATAAATGGAGTATTATTATTTTCAATGTCAACGCCACTCGACATGCTTTCCTAGTTAACGTGTGTTTATATGCGTGCGAGTCTTTAATTGCATTAAATTAAAAAAATAAAAGGAAAAAAGTAATTTTTAGTTATTTAAGTTTTAATTCAATTCCTTAACTATAACTCTTTATGACTCAGTTTTGAACTTTTAACTTTGATAGTTCTTAACAATTTCTGTAATAAACTAATCTTTATTATATAGAATTGGGATAGGGGTGTTTGCACTTCTTCCCCCCCCCCAAATTTTCTCCACTTCCCATCTCAACCATAAGATTACAATTTGAACAGTCTAGATTTCTTATTTTATAAAATTATGAATATAATGTTAATTTTTGTAAAAAATAAATAAATAAAACTGAATTACCAAATTTTAGTTATGATAATTTAAAACAATAATAAAAATATTATACAAATTATATTTCATATAATATGAAATCTGACCAGTTTGAATTTCAATCTTAATGGTTGAGATGAGAAGTGGATGAACATAAAAGAAAAAGAAGTAGAAAGACTCTTTTTTCCTACAAAAGTCGTATTGAGTCATCATTCAATCATCTTATGTGGCAAAAAAAAAAAAAAACAACTAATATGGCTTCCAAATAAGCTGCAGAGTTCATCAATCATCCTATGTAGCAAAAAATACAGCTGATATGGCTTCCAAATAAGCTACAAAGTTCATCCTCCTTACCCAATTGATTCGTGGCCTAATTTATAGTTCAGAGCGTGATTTCATGCAGTTCAATACGCAGAACCAAAAGAAAAATAATCATGAGTTAATGGATAGTCGAATACTTCATATTTCATTGGGTGACTTTTCACACCTAGTCATAAAACAGAGCCATGATCCTTATAATTCATTGTAGCATTTCATTGGCCATCCATGTTCTCTGCTCCATGAAAAGCAAATTGCTCAAAGCCTGAGAGCCATGTCATATTTCTCCTTTGCCATGGTTTTGCAGTTTTTCTTGTTCTCTGCCGTGTGACCTTAAGACAGAAGGGGGAGGCTCTGCGGGTGAGACCATATTTTGAAGCCTTGCTTTGAAGCCATGCAGTAGTTCTTGCCACACGTTACGAGTTAAAAAGGCTAGGAAGTATATTTGAGAAAGTTAGCCATGAATATGCTTGGAAAATCAAAAGGTTAATTTTTTCTTTTAAAAAAATGCAACCTTCAATTTTTAACATAAAGAGGAGATAATTAATTTATAAATATTAAAAAATTAATTTAATTATTTATAATAAATAGATGTTAAGTTTTTGTAAAATATTTATTTAAGAAAATACTCTAGCACGTGACATGTTCATTAAATCTTTGAGGAGAATTAAAGTTCCAACATTGTCGGATACTTTTCTAATTTTATTTATAAGTTATTTTTAACATATTTCACTTAAATTAAGATAAATTTTAAACTTCATTAACTTTTATTTAAAATTTAACAATTTTTTAACTTTACCCCTAATGTAAACAAAATTAACACTATAATAAATAATAAATAAAATTATACATCTATATAAAAATTTTCTCTACTTATAATATATCTTTTGTTTTGTCTAGTTTGATTGGTCTTTCTGCTGGATTCCGCCTTCAGCCTTTAACATCCTGAGGCTTAACAAAGCAGTACAATCTTCCTCGGTATTGGGCTTTCTTTTCCAGTTGTTCATATTCATGCTTCCGCTCCCATGGGCCGGTCAAACCACGTGCAAATTATTTTCATATAGCTATTAGGCCATTAATGTCATTTTATTTCAAAGATTTTAGTATCTAGATTATAGTTTAAAATATTCTTGTTCCAATGACTAGTTTAAAGCGTATCAATTCTGGCTTTAATATAATATCCGGGGTTGACATATTAACTTCATTAGAAAATAATTTTTTTTCTTAATTTCAGCATAAAGAATAAAAGAAACATTAGATAGATGCCTCCTGCCCACATTCGGTGATTGACCCTGCCTCAAAATTAGATAGCCCAAAAAACAAATTAGTTATTGTTGAATAATAATAATATAAGTGGGGGGAATCATTCGATATCTTCCACAGAATTTTCTAACACAACAAAGATCAAAGAGCAAGTCAGACTTACAAATATGCCTCAAAAGTTTGAGTTCAGAAAGGAAAATTCCTTTCACACATCTAATTGATTCATCATCCTTGCTTTCTGTTTTCCTCAATACTCAATGGCATGCAACAGTTGAGAGTAGGAGGGGGGGGGGGGGAACCTAAATCAACTGGTGAACCAGTCATCAAATATAACAGCAAAAATGAGACTGAAAAAGAAAGCCATTATAGGAATTGTTTCCCACCTGCCACTGAGACACAGGAAAAAGCACCCAAGGAACTCAACTGAACTCCCATAAGTTGAATCTCAAACAGAGATCATCAAAATGGGATACAAGTTGCAGAACGAAAGGTAAAAGTATGCCTCAAGATTATGAGAAACAGGTGGGACAGAGGAGGAAACTTTAGGAAAACCCTAAAGAAAAGCCTCCATTGTTGATGGTTTATGTCGCGCAGCTATGACTCAAAACGCTTTCATGGCTGAAAGAGAAAGGCGATCTTAAGGGCTGCGCTTATCCACTATGCAAATCCAAGACAGTCGAATAAACCAAGACTATTTAAAAACAATGAACATTGCTGAAAACGAGTTCACGAAGTTGAAGTCAGTTTCTCGCTAACTTGTGAACAATGAACTGGTTAAGAGATTTAAACATCCCTCAGATTCCATTTCTCCTCAATATGATTCAGTCCACTACTTTTAATGTTAAAACAAATCGTCACAGGGATTCAGCTGTGGGAAAATAATTTCTTGAAAGAATCTGCATATGTGAATGGCAACACACTGCATTCGAGCAATCAACCACCCATCAATTTCTAAGAGTGGGAAAAATGAAGAATTGTTAATTGTATCTTCACACCCAAGAGCAGAGCAATGATACGAACAAAAACAACAGTTAGACGCAAAATGAGGTCTGCATTACTGCAACAAAAAACTTCAAGCCATGAAATCAAGCAAAAATATAATCACTGAGCTTGATTGACAGGATTTACAGGAGAGAAGTTAACAGCACAACTAAAAATCTTTCTTTACAGGAAATCGAACTAATCTCCATCGCAATCGAATACAGATATGCCACCTACGTTTTCGCACAAGCTCCGCCTTGGTTCGGCGCCGAGATGAAGGGATGGGTTAGTCGGGGTATTTATAGGAAGCCGTAATGGCTAGGTTACCGGTTTAGCCCCTAACATTTTGCTTAATTCCGTTTTAGTCCCCATCATTTTGCTTAATTCCGTTTTTGTCCTCCCACGGGTATGCCTCCTTCACCCGCGAGTTGGACTCAGCCTAGCGAAAGCGTTATGTCTAGTCTCCCTATGACTCTTCCTTTGTCTTGTGTCGGTGGGAAATTGCAGGCGCCGTAGAACTACCAACCCCTGAAAGAGGAAATTGTACAAAGAAGACGTTACAGGGCGTTTCTTTCTGAAGGTGAAAGAAGATTCCAAGCATGGAACCTCTGAGGAAGAAGCAGCTCAAGGTGGGAATACGTCTTACTCTATTGATGTTCTTCGTCTTGGGTGCTTCAGCTTGGACTGGTGAAATCCATGGCAGGGTTGTTTGTGATGTCTGTGGCGATTCTTCTATTGGACCTGAAGACCATATCCTCGAAGGTCCCCCCACCTTCTCTCTTCAATTGGCACTGTCTTTCATTTCGGTGTCCTTCGGACTGGGTTGTCCAATTGGATTTCTGATTTTGTGCCGAAATTGATTTTCATTTTAATTGAACTGCATTGTGTTTTTCCTCAACTGATGAACTCAGCTGATGATCCTGCCTTTATAAGCTTGCTGAAGTGCAGTTTCGTTATATATGGACTGTGGAAATAGGTTGGAAGAGTCTCTTAATTTAGTCTTGTACCATCTGTTTCATATCAATCATTATTGCAATTGAAGTTTCAGCCTTTCAATTTGGTCACCCCACTGATTTCATCTGCAGTCACAAATAGCTTATTTGATCTTAAGATTTGTTGGATGCGTGCGATTTCTTCAATCTTATATTGGCTTTACATGTAAAAATTTGTTAGTAATGCTGAAGTAGAATCCGTGCCATAAGATGGCTTGGTGTTTTACTCGATTGTTCTTGCAAGCCTTGATGAAGAATTTGATAGCCTGTTTTAAGCTTGCTGCTTTGCTGGAATGACATAACTTTAGTTTAACCAGTTACCATTCTGACCAATCCGTTCAAGCTAAATTTTAATCATTGGCATGGCCATACTTCTTTAAAAGAAATTTAAAAATCGATTCACTGACTGATTAGTATCACTTCGCCTTTAGCCCAATGTTTTAGTTTGTGATTTCCAAGGATGGCAAGGATTGAAGTTCGGAAGGAGCTTTGTAATAATGTTCTTAGAGCCTTTCTGAATCATCTGGATACAATTCTAGTAAATTATATTTCACTTTTTCAAAACCATTTTCTTCGCATTCTCTTGCAACACAATTGCTATTGTTTGCTTATATTTATCAACAACCAGAATATTTTGGGTCCCATCGCTGCATTCCACGCAGGCAAGTTCAGGCAGAGAGGTATGAATGTAGTAGATTGCCTTACTGGCCTTACAACTGACTTCATTAGAGTTAGCATTGGAGCCCCTTGAGTGGTGAATATTTTCAAGACTAAACTTGTCGGAACTACCTGTTTTCTACAGAGGATGTGAATCAGGGAAAGTGTTTGTGTCGCTTTATTTTGCAGTCAATAGTTGTCTCATTATGCTTTTGATGGGTTTGATTTATTGAAATAACTTTGTTCCTATTGTTCTCTATTCTAGGGCCAAAGCTACTTGTAGTAAGTTGTAATCTCCATGATTTTACATTGGGAAACTAGGAGCAGCTCAAGGGTTTTCCTCACAATCATCTGATTCAGTTTCATTTTTGCAATTGGTGAAAAACTATTCAAACAATCTGAAAATTCAAAACTTTCAAGTTTCCATCTTAAAATACCACTTATGTAACTGTGATCCACACATTGTGGGGTCTTGGCAACCTTGTACGTTGATTCTGCTACTTGAATAAAATTTATGTTGACTCCAGCAGCTTGAATTGATTTTTCTTTTTAACCTGTTGTATTTGAATTCTGATAAGCAATATTATCACATTTGAACCAAGTAATTGATTTGGTTGATTCTGCTCATCAGTTTGATGGCACAATTCTATCTGCCCCCCTGTATTATAATTGAAGGGTAATGCAACAGAGGTAATAGCAATGTGATTGTCCTCTGGAGGTGAAACTAGTCCCTTTCTCCAGCAAAACAAATGAAAAATAAAATGCATTTCAAATGCTTGATGCGACCTAGGATTCAGATTTGGCGGATCAATCCATAACATGATTAACTATCAATATTCTGTTGGATTTCCTAAAATGTGACTGTGACTGCTTTGATGCAGGTGCTGAGGTTGCTGTTCTTTGCATCACAAAGTCTGGGGAGGTTCTAAATTACCAGGCATTCACAGACACTAGAGGGATTTACACTGTTGCCGAGACAATGCCCGAGAGCGATCGTTGGGATGCCTGTCTTGCTCGTCCCATTAGCAGCTTCCATGAGCACTGCACCGAACTCGGCAAGGGCAGCTCAGGGGTGAAATTCAGCTACAATCACCCATCAGGTTATTCCCATACAATTAGAACTTTCGTTTACCGACCTTCTAGCCTTCCAACCTACTGCATTTGATCTGCCCTGGCCTTGCTACAAACCTAATGGTGACCATACTTGGTTAAACTACAAGGAAAACTAAAGAGTACATGAGCAATTCATGCTATACTATGTGCGCGCGCGCGCGCACACACATATAGAGTGTTGTCTGATATTTATTATTACTGTAGAGCCTAGTTGAAATGAAGGTGTGAACTGTATGAGTCTATGACCAAAGGACTTGTGAATGACATTGTCATTGACAGTGACAGTGGAGCATGTTCATTGTAAGGAGTTTGAGAAGTGAACCATACTGTTTGTAACTTCTGAATAGTTCCCTTTTTTTTTTAATAGATTTTATATTATATATTATGAAATTGTTCAGTTTTCATGTACATCATTGTTACTGCAGTGAGTATTTTAGTCACATCCTTGCATAATAGCAAGTGCAAGGCATTGTGAAGGAGGTCATGAATAATAACCTAACTTCTGTGTGTTAAATTTGATCCATTTCCAAAACAAATGCAAGGAATTGACAATTTTGAAGAAGGTGAAGTGAGGTGAGGCATTTATCTATATGGTTAGTGGAGTGGTTCGTTAATTGGGTATTTGCGTTTATTGGATGTAAAATTGTAAACTGTATTCTCAACAATTGGGATGGCAAGTTCCATTGATTTCTAAGTTCAAGAAAAATTTAAAATCTTTTCCTCAAAGTGTTCAGAGATTTCCTAGGGTCTAGGTTTGCATACAAATTGTTTACTAATAAAGTCTTTACATCAATCAATAGTGGGATTTGAACATGCGATATTATGGGTTATGAATTACCCTTTTATCAAGTGAATCAACTTTTATTGGCGATAGAACAATATTATATAACCGATAACATCATGCAGCCAAGATGAAGGCCAAAACAGAATCAACACAAGCAAGCAGACCAACGAATAAAGGAAACAACCTCAAGCCCATATAACCAATGGGAGTTGCGTCTAACGGGAAGTGCTAGTCCCTCACAACGTGATGAATAAAAATTCGAATTCATGTTGGAAAAGGTATCCATATCAAGTGCTCAACAGTGCTTCAAATAGGATTACTTCCATTAGGAAGATACTTATGATTTAGCGAGGGGAAAAAAACTCAAGCCCATACTTGTCATCAGACACTGAGAATCCAACTTGACTCTGTCAAACAAATAGGAAAAGGCATAGAATTAGATAAGATGAATCTTTCCCCCCTTAATCTAGTCGATGTGTTGGCCCAAAAAAAAAATTGATGATCTCATATTTGAACAAAATCAATATCAATAATACTCTTCCGGTCCTTATTATAAGACTCCATTTGACTTTTTATTTGGTCCTAATTATAAGACCCCAATCCATTTTGTCTCTTATATTTATGCATTTTTTTCAAGATAATCCTTCTAATAATGATAGTTTTAGCCAATATACTTAATTAGCAAGGATATTTTAGGAATGACAACACTTATTTATTATAAATAACCAACTTAACTTACTTCCTTAATCTCCTCAAATAAGTCAATTGGGTCTTATAATTAGGACCGGAGGAGTATTTTATAAGGAAAATGACATAAAAGGAAGTTAAAAATTGTAATATTCCAATTTGGTAAATAACAAAAATGTCATTATATTAAAAAGTTTATTAACAAGTTATAATTAACAAATGTATTGAGAATTACAAGTTTGATAGCTTTCTTTTTAAAAAAAAATTAATGAGTAATTTTAGACATTTGATTACATTTACAAAATATCAAATCAAGCATCACTTTCTTCTTTTTAATGTCATTTTCCCTACTTTATATTATAAATAGACGCAAGAAAAAAATTGAGATAATAATTATTTACTAAGTTAATAATAAATAAATTTTATTTTGTCATTTTTTTTAAAAAAATTATTTTATTTTTTATATCAAATGTTACTCATAATTAATAAATTATAAATCCATATTCTTCACCCGAAAGAAAACCAATGCCGGGAGGCTGAAACTCTGGCTCTGACTGGCAAAAGCGAAGGGCTTTGGTGAGGGAGAATAATATACAGAAATGGTTGTTGCCAGACAGAGGAGAGGATGAAAGTGGCGGTGACGCTGAGATT